TGTATTCTATTGTTCCCCTTTTCAGTCGTTCCATAGCTCTTTGGCACTCTCTTGTTGCAGTGCATACACACAGCACAAGGTGGAGTCCTGTTCCACATTCCTTTCTTTTGCCATCCTACTCTCTACCAGAGATGTACCTCCACCTAAGCTGCACACATGATGCAGAACCATGACCAGACCCGACCAAAAGGCAATGTTATGAATGAACGGAGACTTGCTGAGTTCTCTCATTGTCCAATTATGTGTCTCCCCTCCCCCCCCCGTTTTTACTTGAAGTAGTGACTTACAGCCCTACAAAGTTGGCCGAAAAAGTAACTTTTCTTGAGACCTGAATTTTGCCCACAAAACTTTCCACAAGAATAAATTTGTTGGGCTCAATTCAGTTCTGGAATCAGCCTCACCGGACTCAAAGTTACTCATGAGAGAGATACTGCAAATTGGATTATTTATGTTTTATTTTATTTTATTTCTGGAATTTTATTCTAATCCTGGACAGTATGGCAAAAAATCTCTCATGGCTTTAGTAGAGAAAGGAAGAAAAACGGATTTTAAAACTGTTTGTTTCCTGGAAGGACCCTGCGTGGATCAGTTGTACAACTCAGCTCCTAAAACGATAGCTATTTTCCTTCCCTGGCAAGCTTTTGAGACTTACAAGTTTCTTCATCAAGCTGGGTGCTGCACTCTTTGGGGCACAGAAAAGAAACAAATAAGTTATATAAAAATACATCTTGGCTATTATTTCTGGAGTTCTCTGTTTCTCTGCCACCCCACCCTAATCTCTGCCATTTGCTATCTGATAAAGGGATCACCTGGACTCGTTTTTGATATTTTTGTGCTCTTGAAAAAGAGTACTGCCACCCTTATTTTTTTGGATTTCTGTGCAAATATCTTTCTTTTTCTTATTTCAACCTTTTCTAGTTTTCTTTTTATTTACAGAGATTATCTAATGCTATTGTACTTCCCCACTGGGTTTCTGTCCCCCTCCTTCCACTGCCCCACAGTAATACCTGTCTCCGTTCTGTACCTGCACGCCTCTGCATCAAGCCAGGGGTTTCAGTCATCAGTGAATAGGGAATGAATGAAGAAATCCAGAAGGAAAAATAAACTTGGCTGTGCGTTTTGGACCCTTCTCTCCCCTGCCCCACCCCAATCTCTGCAGTGTGCAATATGATGGAGAGACAGACCTGCATGATGTGAAAGGGAGACTGCTTTGTCTCTTATACATACAAACATCACCTTTTTCTTTATTTTTTCTTTCTTAAGATGCATTTCTTTGCCCTCTCACAGCCATAAAAGCTGCCTGTTCTTTCCTTGGCAAGCTTTTGAGTCCTTCAGGTGTCTTTATCAAGCCATCTACTGCTTTAATTGTGACACAGGGAAGACACCAGGAAGTTAAAAACAAACATATTGGCCATTGTTTTCGGGGGGGTGGGGTTGTTTCTCTGCCACGCACCCACCCCAACCTGATCAAGAGACCTCCAGGACTCAAAAACATGTCCAGTTTTGATATTTTAGTGCACTTAGAAAAACCCTTGTTTTTGATTTGGACCGACAAGAGGTGTAAATAAGAGAAAACATTTAATAATGATGCAGTGATAGAGTGATCTGGTGGCAATCTCATCTATGTAAGAAATTTTTTAAAAATAAGAAAAATACGAAGGAAAGGAAAGAATGTAGGGGAGGATGTTCCCCTCGTCCTGCACATCCCGCCCAGCTGCAAGTGCAACTGAAACAACAACTAGAGACACGACCCCTGTCTTTACAAGAATGTATCACAACTTGCCACATGGGAAAAGCACTGTTCTCATGGTTCTGGCTTTGAAAAGTGGAAGCGCCCCGCCCCACCCCCACCCAGCGGCTGAGGAAAAAAAAGTTCTTTTCGGCACAAAAAAGGGCTGGACCAAATCGAATCAGCCTTTGTATCATGTGGACAGTAAAAAACAACAATCAAAAACTTCAAATCTTGTGGGATTTGACCATGTAGTTGCGCTCTTGATTGATCCCGGTAGCAAATCATTTGTAGTGGTTTTCTGCACCATGCTGTAGTTGAGGGTGTTCAGCCCTCCATGCAAACACAGATGGTTCACGCAGGCCACTCATGCAAAACTGCTTTTTATTAATCCTCTTTCCTAAATGGCTCCTGAGAGGAGGGCTGAGAAGAAACGTGTCACTATGGATGACAGAAGAAATGCAGAGAAATGCTCAGGGGAGTCCCTCCCTGCTGCAGAGGAGTTGTCAGCCCAGGTTGCTAAGAGCCCTCAAGGGTACCAGGTATTTGTGAATATAAGAATGGAGAGAGAGAGAGAGAG